ATTATTATTATTATTATTATTATTATTATTATTATTATTATTATTATTATTATTATTATTATTATTATTATTATTATTATTATTATTATTATTATATTATAGAAGTATATCTAATATACTTTCTCTTTTAAAATAGAAATTTTTATACTTTTCTTAGACTTTATATAAACTAATTTAGTTACTTTAGAGATATAGAATAATCTTCTTTAAATATATATAAGTTTCTTAATATAAGTTTATATATCTTAAGAATATAGTACTTAGTATAGATATAAAGTATAGAAACTTTACTAGATTTTATATAGTAAAGTTAATTAATATATTAATCTAGCCTAGCTATCTACTATAAATATATATAAGTCTAGTACTAAATATTCTTTCTATATAAGAGTTATACTTAAATTAAGTGATTCATTAGTAGGGTAGCCTATTAGAAGCTCTCTAACATAGAGCTACTTTCGTTCTGATTCCAACCTGGCTCCGCCTTTACATCCCCGGCTATCCATCCTCATCTACTCTAGATACCTCCGTGTTAACCATAAGAATCCGTCACCTTCTAACCAAATCTACCAGAACTCCTGTCATCATGGACTGCCATCCAGAAGTTTGGGGTCGCGTAAGCCACGCCAGCGCAACCACAGGACAGCAAGCTTACTGTGTTGTAGCCCAGGTATGAAATCTACGGCGACTACGACCATTCCCATCTTCACACCTCTGGACCGATGCAGCATACACAACAACCGATCGTGACTGGGACGTCAGTGATCGCAGTGAAGTTCAAAGATGGTGTGGTCATTGCAGCAGACAATCTAGGTCAGCGTCTCCTTTGGTCCATCCGAAGAAGCTAACATGTTCTCGCTACAGCATCATATGGATCCCTTGCGCGCTTCACCGACGTCAAGCGACTCCGCAAATTCAATTCCCAGTCCGTAATCGGCTTCGGGGGCGACGTCTCGGACATGCAATACCTCGATCGTACTCTTGGCTCGCTCGACACGAACGAAAATTACAGTAACAGTGACCAGCCTCTGCACGCCAGAAACCTGCACACTTACCTTTCAAAGGTTATGTATGCTCGCCGCTCAAAATTTGATCCTCTTTGGAACGCCATCCTTGTTGCGGGACTCGACGGTGAAGATATGCCATTTCTTGCGTCAGTCGATCTTCTGGGCACGAAATTCTCTAGTCCAACACTTGCGACAGGTTTTGGTGCGCATCTTGCGGTGCCTATTCTTAGAAGAACGGTGCCCGATGAGGAAGCGGTTCAGCAGACTACCAAGGACCAAGCCGTGGAGTTGGTGAAAGAGAGCATGAAGGTGCTGTTCTACCGGGATGCCAGGAGTTTAGACAACTACAGCATCGCTGTCATAACGAAAGAATCAGGTGTAGAGCTCAAGGAGAATGAGAAATTGGAAAACCAGAGCTGGGCGTTTGCTGACCAAATCAGAGGATATGGAACCCAGGTTAATTAGGTAGTCCGGTGGGCGGAGGATCAACATAAGCTTCAGCTTAGGACTCTAGCACAGTCGACCTGTACTATATGCGTCAACGAAAGCTCTATATACTTCGAGACTTGACGCACTGGCGATGAATAATGATATACTGGTGTGTCATGTTGGGTATAACACAGCATTTAATTTCGTCATCCCCTTAGCGGCAGTATATGCTGTACCATGCTCGTCTGCCGACATAGCGGACATTCCGGCTTTTCCCTACACCAATCTCCAATGCATGTCCAGCAGAACACATGACCACATGTTGTCACGCTAGGTTCTTTCATTCCTTCCAGACAGAGTGTACATCTCCGCTGTCTTTCCTCATGTATCCACGCTAATCGCTCTCCATCCTCCAATCTATACCTCGGTCCCTGCAAAACCGATATGCGTGTAATCTTCTGTATATCAGATAAGTTATCCTCTGCATATCCTCTAGAGTCCCCTTCGAACAACAGCGCGTTGTTACTACTATAGTCTTTCGGGTTCAGACTGACTTCGACGCAATCGCCAAGAACCGCTGACGTCCCGACCAGTGTTGAAGATTCCAACGCTTTTAGCGTTGACGCAGTGTGATGTATGTGGAACCAGGCTTGTACGGCCATCTGCATGACGAGTAGCATTCCTAAGACTTCATAGCCAACGCGCTGATCCGACTCCTCAATGCGCCGCGTGAAAATATACCGCAGTCCAAGCAGGCGCTTGCTCAGGTGATAATATGAGCCGGAGAAGTAAAAGGTCACCAGAGAAAGCGCATATAGAGGCGAAGGCGAGGTGATGGTATCGAGGTTTGCGAGGAGATATGTGCGAATATGGTACGGTATACTCGTCGGTCTACCGCCAGCCTTCTGCTGTCTCTCTGAGCGGCGCAAACTGGCCTCTAGCTTCCAGCGCACCCGTCGGCGAAAGGTGGGTAGACCGCGATTCAGCGCATATGGGACGAGGATTGTGCTAATGATATATCCGCTGCGGTAGACGACACTTGGAAGGGCGAGCGTATCATTTTCGACTTGCACGATATCGCAGTATTCTTCGCCAAGCGTACGATTTCCGATGAATGTGGTCAGCCCCAGGTAGAGCATATCTGTAAAAGTACGTGTTTCGGACGTATATGTGTGTGCGAATCGGGCGCCATAGACATTGCGAAGAATGCTAGACAGCTGTTCAAGGAGAACGCCTTGGAAGTAGGCGTCCTTTTGGTGAGAGCGTACTATATCAGGGGAGGTAGCGAAGGGGTAGGTAAATGGTTCTGACATTATGTCGGTGATTGCATGTATAGATATTATGTTTCGAGTTAAGTTAATATACCTACTAATAAGCCAACCTACTAATAAACCACGTGATTTAAGTGTAACTCTAAATGCCTATATTAATAACTATATACTTAAAATAGAGTAAATTTATATAAATAAGCCTTATATATCTTCTTAGAGACTATCTATCTAGTTAATAGTAATTAAGTCTCTAATTTCTTAAGCTTTTCTATATATTTAATAGCTTAAACCACTTCTACTACTATCTTCTTCTTCTTCTTCTTCTTCTTCTTATCTATAGTCTTTTTTATATATATAATATTTATAAATTATTTATTAAGGTCTATTTTAATCTTCTTCTATTTTCTTTTTTAGATTAGACTATTATTTTAAGTCTTAAGCTTAGCTATATATATCTCTAATTATCTAATATTAGCTATTAGTTATTCTATAGACTATACTAATAAGAATAATAGATCTTAAGTTTTATTTAATAGCTTACTATTAGATTAGAGTATATCTATTCTATAATATATATCTTAAGAGCTATAAGATATATTAGCTAGATTCTATTATTATATAAATAGAGATAGAGTTCTTAGATACTTATCTAAATTAGAGAATATAAAAGAACTATTTATCTCTTTTAAGTAATAAATAGATATATCTCTATAGCTCTCTATTCTTCTATTATCTAAGATAGTTATAACTATTATTTCTAAGTCTTATAGTAGTACTTAATAAATTAAAGCTTCTTTAGTAGAGTTATATTATTAAGATATATTAATTTATTAAGAAGATTATAATATTTTTTCTTTAGACTAGAAAAATAATCTAAATTAAGTAGCTATAGTATATAGCTAGTATAAGTAGATAAATAGACTATATAGATTCTATTTATCTAGTATATATATATAAAGTTAATCTCTATATAGCTTCTATAGCTATTAATTAATAGAAGTCTCTATTTTTCTTCTAGAACCTTTATCTCTAGTATAAATATACTCTATAGCTACTTTAGAGTAATCTAATTTAATATCTAACTATATAGAGATACTATATATATCTAATTAGAAAAAACTTCTTATACTCTAAGAGACTAAAACTAGTGAATTTAGGGTAATATAGTAATCTATATATATTAATTAATAGAGTATACTAAGTATAATAACCTATAATATATAATAATAATAATAATAATAATATTATTATATAACTAGATAGAGTAGTCTACTCTATAGATATATACCTTCTCTAGTCTAAGCTATTATATAAGAAGAAACCTCTATAAAAGAAAAACTCTCTTCTCTCTATAACTATATCTTATTAAGTCTTTATATTATCTTAAGTATATAGCTATTAGAAATATCTATAGGCCTATAATCTATAGTACTATTATTTTACTCTTAGATAGTATATATAGAGTATAGAAGTTATTAGTTAAGGGTTATCCTTAACTAATAATTAGAGTTCTTCTAGAGTTCTTCTAGTATATACTAGAGTCTATCTAGTATATACTAGGGTCTATCTATTATATACCTAGTTTCTTCTAGTATATATATCTAGGTCTATTAATACTAAGAAAGTAGAAGATATATAAGTATCTATCTAGTAATCTTCTTAGAGTACTTATTAAGCTAATATATAATATTAGAGATTCTTATTATATAAATAAGTAATTATCTTTATATATAGAGGTCTAGGTATATTATAAGATAATATTATATTATATCTATCTAGCTATATATTTTATACTATAGAGATATATCTAGAATACCCCTCTAATATAGATAGTATAGAAGTTCTATAGCTTTTATTTAGACTTAGAGGAGAATAGATATCTAGACTTTTATAAGTCCTTTATATATCTATTTACTTAGTTCCTTCTATAGTTCTTAAATCTACTCTAGATATCTATTCTATTAGAATATCTAATAGATTTAGAGAGTTTCTCTCTATTTATTCTAGATCTATAATTATATAGTTTATATAAGTTTCTAAGAGTTCTACTAGTCTAGAGAGATATCTAGATTATCTCTAATCTCTTATATAATCTAATTTAAGTCTATCTCTATTAGATACTTATACTATATTTAAGTCTAGTCTATATATAAAAGTATCTAATAGTAGATACTAACTTAAATATATAGTATAGTAAAAGTATATTCTATATATTCTATATATTTCTATACTTATTATTTAATAAAGTATATTACTCTCTATATCTAGTAGAAGTTCTATATACTTATTACGTTTATCTCTCTTTATAATAGTACTATATTAGTAGCTTTATATATACTAGATATAAGATAGAGTATATAATTCTATATAGACTTAAGTTTTATTTATCTAGCTTATATAAGGGCTATATACTAGTACTTATATCTATATATAAAGGCGGGTCTTACTATAGAGATATATAGCTAGTATATCTTATTCTAGGTAGTTCTCTATATAGAGGCTATAATCTAGTATATAGTAGCTTCTATCTTAAGGGCTCTAGATATAGTATATATTAAGAGTAGACCCTAGGTATACTTAACGCTAGTATACTACGCCCGCGCTACTACTCTCTCCTTACTTAATAAAGCTAAGCGAGCCCCTTTTTAATAGTGTAAAAAGGGTAGGTATAAATAGATATATAATATTCCTTATATAAGGAATATATATCTAAATAGAGTTATATAATAGGATCTAGCCGTAATAGACT